ATGCAAAGTTAGTCAATCCAAAAGCAACGCGAGCCTGCTGCAAGCTATTTGGAGTCATAAACGTTTTGATAACGAACGTTCTCTGTTCAGGGGTTAATTGAACCATGTTTCGTACCTAAGACGAAGATTGACGAGTTGAGCTTATTTTAGATAATTTAGCATTCAATTTTAATTCCCTCTTGGGAATTGTTTATGTTTCGTTTTCGATGCAATTCCCAACGGTGGAAGAATGTGATTTCGACCGGCAATTTTTATTTGACGAGTATGTGGCCATTTCTCATCGTTACGACTTAAAAAGAGTATCATTGAAAAGCTAAATAACTGTTCTTTCGTCCTATGTAAAAATTGGATTGTTTAGCCACGTTTATGATGCACGACAGCCTGTTTAATTTCCGTAGCGTTTTTTTTTAGACACCTTGTTAAGGCTCTGCTCGCAGGGTACCTGTATTAGTAGTTTTGAAATTGGCATATTGCTGGGATCAGTCTGGCTTCAGATTAATTTAACCTCGAATTTAACCGGCATTAAAAGTGTATAACAAGCTTTCCTTGGTAGGGATGCAACTACCTGAAAAATGTAAGGAGAATTTCGACGTTCAGTCCTTTAATAATTAAACAATAGTGTTAATGATTTATTATAATGTATTAATACACTACAAAATACATTTCCTGGACCCCGGGATATGGCGGGGAAATTAACATTTCGACAATGTTAAATTTTGGTAATTTCCCTGCTACCAGGGGAATATTGACTGTTAAAGTTACCGCCCCTATGGCCCCGGCACTTTGCAAATTTTCATGGCTTGGAAATGGGAAATCGTTGAAGTATAAAATGTTCACAACATGTGAAGGCAATTCTTGATCTTAAACTTTGATCTGCATCAATTTAAGATACTGAATAATCTACGTTTCGACTATCTTGCAGTCATCATTTAAGAAAAACTATGAGGAAACAATGAGTCAATGATAAACTCGTTCCAGTCCACTTTCATATCAGCCGTGCGTTAAAGTCCCGGCTAATAAATTGACTTGTTATTTACCCTGTACCCCGGGGGAAATGCAGGGCTGCCAACTCTCCCGGATTATCCGGGAGTCTCAAGATTTTGGACCTAATCTCCCAGTCTCCAGATTTTGTCTTAATTCTCCCGGATTAGGATAATCACCAACGTCGATTTATGCACTAGCCATTTGATTCTTCGTTGTCAAAGGTTTTAACAATAAAAATTATTTGTGTTGCACATTCGTTTTGCTGGTAAAATAAAATTCTTTCGTTGCTGCCTGCGTTGCTTTTAATCAGCGGTTGAATGGCACCATTTTCCGTAAACACTTCATCTTACAGGGATTTTTTAACCCGTATTGACGCCATTAAAGATGTCGATATTTTATTAAACTAGTACATAATATTGTGAAACTTGAAATCAACAGTTATTTGTGTTCAGGGACGCCGGAACTGGGGGGGGGGCAGGGGGGCTGCCCCCCCCCTGCCTTTTGCTAGGGGGGGGGCAGAAGTGTCCTTTTAGTTTTAAAATAGTACGCGATAAATCACATTTCCAACGATGCTTTTTGTAGGAAAATCATGCAATTCAGGCAATTTATAGTTAATATTTGTATGTCCGGAAAAATTTTTGACCCCTAAAATGGTACACTGGCCGAAATTTTTTTGGCGACGTGGGTAGGGGGGACGTCGCCAAAAAAAAAAATTCATCAATTCTCCAGATTTGAAAACTTCCAGGGTTGGCAGCCCTGGAAATGGTGCATTAAACTCGTGTTAATCCACGGCCATTCCCCCGTTAATAGGGAGTTTAAGATATTGACGACGAACTACCGACTACGTTTGAAATAGTTTTTGCTATATGTATGCAAATACTAAATGCTTGTCATAACAAATTTATCCCAAATATGTTTTATGTGCATGGTTTTGTAAGTTTCATCTTTTAATTTTAATCACTTCTTTATAAAAATGCTCTCCAACCTGCAACGTTGCATAGTCAGTTTTGGTGCAATGTTCTTGATCCTGTTTTACAACACAAGAATGTGATTTTTACACTGTAGCCAAGGTCGCTACAGTGAAAAGTATGCTCTGGGGATATGTAAATTTAGTCTGCCTCAGTTAAATTAGCAATGCGATAACAAGGTTTCAACCGTACTCTAGCTGTACCCGTTGTTCGTTGTCGACATCTTAAACTCCCTAATTCCCCGCCCTGTCCCGGGGGGGGGGGGCGATGTTTCAATTGATTAGTGCATAAGAAAGACAGTCATGCAGGTAAATCATTAATGTAAAGAATAAATAGTAAAGGCCCTAGAATTGTACCCTGTGGGATTCCACATGCTTGATTTCAGCTTTTTGCAAATACGATTTAAACCAATTATTTTCCATGCCCTCCAATGCCATATGTGTTTAACTTAGATAACAGAATTTCATGGTCAACAGTATTGAACGCTTTCTTAAGGTCTAAGAAAACAACAGCGTTAATATTACCGCAATCAATATTATACGCCCAGTCATCAGTTGCCTCAAGTAAAGCAGTGACCGTAGAATGAAGGCACCGGAACCCTGATTGGTGACAAGATAATAAATTGTTTTCACTTAAAAATGCAAAAGTTTGATCGTAGACTACCCTTTCAAATACTTTTGCTACCACAGGAATAATTGATATCGGGCGATATAGTTATTAAAGTCTGAACGATCACCCTGCTTAAATAATGGAATAATTTTCGAAATCTTTCAATCTTCAAGGAAGATTCCTGTAGCTATTGAGCAATTAAAATTTGAAGAAAGAGAGTCTGCAATCAGATTAGCACATTCGTGAATAAGTCTTACTGAAATTTTATCCAAACCAGTAGCTTTGTTTTTGCGTATAATTTTCTCAATAGAGAAAGAACAGTGGAGCAATAAATTAGTATAGGCTTCATTTTAAACTTTTCATCACACTTCACACCAGTCAAATAACTAAGGTGTGAACGGTCATTAGCTGTGCATGGAATATCATCTGCAGCAAGTTCAGGCCCAACTCTTGCAAAATGATCATTGAAAGCTTCAGATAACTCCATTGGGTCACTAATTGAAATACTGCACCGTTTGATTTCTTTTATGTGCGAATTCTTTGTTTTCCTGGCAGTTAATAGCTCATTGATAATGCACCATGTCTTGCGTGAGTTACCTCCATTCTCACTAAAGGCATTTATATTACAAATTTTTATATAATAATTTACAAACATTTATATAATAATTTTATAACAAATTTATAACAAATTAAGTGGTATATATTAAGAATAAATATAAATATTAAGTGTAAATATTAAGTAAATTAAGTGGTAAATTTTATAATAATTTTATAACAAATTTTTATATAATAATTTACAAACATTTATATAATAATTCTCTTTAGCTTGCTTAATTTCGTTATTTACAGAATTGCGACATTTCTTAAAGATAGACCAATCATTGGGATCATTTGATCGCGGGGAAGCTCTTATCTTCAAAATATCCCGTTCATACATGCGCTGTGTTAAATGCAATGAAATCCAAGCTCCAACACGCTTAGACCTGAGGGGGGGCATGCCTGTCAATTACAGTAGAAAAGATGTTTTTCCATGCACACCGCATACTATTCGGGTCGTCATGGGTATTTGCAGTCCCAACTGTGCGTACTAATATTCATTACGAAATTTAGTACTATAAAAATCTTTAAAATTCCTGTAGCTAACTGTGCAGTGACCGCTATTGACCAGGTTAACTGTAAGTTCATGATAAACATATACCAGGCTATGATCACTAAAGCCGGTTACAGACGAGCAAGTTTTCTATGACAAGTTTTTATGTGACAAGTTTTATTTGCTCGTCTGTCAACGCGCAACTTTGACAATTTTTTCTATGACAAGTGTACTTGTTCAAAAGTTAGCATCTAGCTTTTAAACAAGTGCACTTGTCATAGAAAAAATTGTCAAAGTACAAATTTTGCTCGTCTGTATGGGTCAACAAAGAAAACTTGTCAAAGTAATCTGAGCACTTGCAAACATGCAGAGTTGGTCAGCGATATATTGCTATAATGGGTAATAATAGCTGTCGTGGCGGTCAGAAAACTAAAAGCTTGTCATAGAAAATTTGTTGCACATACACACATGCACTTGGCAAATAAAACTGGCCATATAAAAACTTGTCATAGAAAACTTGCTCGTCTGTAACCGGCTTAATGCTGACATGAGCAACACCTGATTTCCATATTCCACGCCCTGTTGCGCCTGATTGCAGGCTAGCGAAAGATTAAGTGGGAACAACGCGAGTCATTTTCAAGATTTGCAATTTGCCTTGTCTTGAATTTAAGCTATAATTTATCCTACTTAGCTCAACAATCTCTCCCCGCGCAAAATTGAAAATAAACCGCCTGTCAAAACTTTTGAATTTAATGAAAATTGTATTAATTAACCACATAAAAAAACACTATAAGCGGTAATTAATAAGGCTATACAAATCACGCAATAAAATTTAACTGGCCTGCGTAACAATTGCTGACAACTCATTCATTTTAAAAGCCAAAATATTCAATATAGTTTTTCGATAAGTCTCTGTGTGCCAGTTCACTCATTCACATTCGTCAGAATGACAAAATCGCCGACAAAATGCTTGTCTGAACAATCTGTAGATTTTTGACGATATTATACACATTGATACATACTGTATGTTCAGTGTAATTACCTGATTGGCTACATGGCTACTAGCTAGTATGTGCATGTTGAGCCCGCGATATGTAATTTGGTAACAAGCGGTTTCTTAAAATACAAGAATAAGCACAAGAAAAAAATTTTGGTTTGAATGCAATGATGTTTTTTGAAAGCATTTGTGCAGAAAACACACAAGAGATTTTTTTCGTTCCTTGACTCAGAAACGCTGTTTTAAAAAAATAGTTCATGATATAACTTAGAGAATGCATTCTCTTGAACATTGTATATACCTCTTTTTTTAGAAACCTTTTTCCAAGAAGTGCATGAATTCGTCGCTTGTAAAGATGACTTTGTTTGCCAAAGTATTAATATTAATACCGTTTGTAATTGCGTGTTTGCCAGAAATCACCGAATCGGCTGACCCAGAGGTTTCCAGAAACGGTGAGCTTGGATCCATTGCAAGTAAGGTTGTGACAAACTCGAGCAACGCTTCGACTGCTTGCCATTTTCACATTTTAGAATCATCACTTGAAAGTGTCTTAAAATTAATGCACAACAGCAAAACGAATGCAATAAAACTAAATGTCTGGATTGAATTGTTCAATGATAATATGACTCTCATGAATAAAACTCTACTCCCAACATACGTGCAATGGGCAAACGAAATAGGTCGTACATTATACTCGTTAATATTTGAAACAAGAGACCTACAATCACTGATTAGATTTCTGCCAAACGTTACATTGACTGCTGGGTTTCGTGATGTAAACATTGTTGTCTCTGAAGAAAACGGAAAGTGTTTGTTGGCGGTTCATAATATATTGGATTATGGCATTTTTGATCTCCTTCTGCGTCAGCTTTATCATGTCAGTGATGATGACACTGATTATCAGTTGTGTATCACCCACAACCTCGCATTAATTTGTTGTGCGATAGTTGGAGATAAAAATATACCAATCTGCTCTTACTATTCGTCAAATATGGCAAATTTCTCTCTCACCATTACAGTTGCAACTGTATTTTTTTTTCTTTTTCTAGCGTTCCCTTTAATACTAGACTATTTAAGTCGGTCTAAGAAAAAAAGTGAACATTATTACGTGATCTCCGATAGTCCCATGGCAATTTCATCCATCTTTCGTACGATATTTATTGAAGGGCAAGGTCCAGTAAAGTCTTTTGGAAGGAAACTGTTATTTTTAATTTTTGTACTTGTGATATGTTTACCCGTACAGAATGTTGATCCAACTGAAATTACAGCGATATGCTGGTATATCAGCCTAGGTGTATGGACATTCAATTTCATGTTTATGACTTCCGATACATACAGCTTTAACTATGGTAATTCATTTCAACAACATGATTTCTCTCTGGATAGCTCATTGTTTTTCTTTAGAAATTCATTCGAGATTATTGCTTTGCCATTTAATTTTAAATTATGGTGGCGGAAAGTCAGTGAGGAATGGCCATGTTTCTATGATAACTTGAAGTTAAACTTAAATAGAGAGTCAACTGAAATGACAGAGCGTACTGGATTATTAGAGCAACAGGTACAACAGTATGGAAACGAGTCTCAAGATGGTGTTGAATATTCTCGACAACATCACTCGGAAACATGCAAATGTTTTGAAATATGCAAATACCGTATGTCTATTTTTGTTTTAATCCTTTTATATCTTGGGATTGCTTTCCCGTTTTCATGTGTTTTTGCGTTATTCTCATTATCCCTCTATTTTTGGAAATTTCAAAAACGCGACCAACAAAATAAATCAAAAAGGTCTTTTATATCAACTGCGATAAGTTTTGTTTTGTGGCATCTCTCTACTATTGGGATACTCATGTATTCTTCCATGATCTTCTTTCTTTGTACTTTTTTATTTACCATTGGTCTGTTTCTAAACGGAGAAACTTACATTAATTATTTTTTGCCTCTTTCCACTATCTTGTTTTATTCGTGGACTAATTGGAAGTCTTCTGTCGAGACAAAATATTTGGCACTAAATGGAAACATTTACGAAGTTTGCAAAGAAAGTATACCTGTTCAACCTACTGCACTCCCTAAATCTGGAGAGGAAAGTGATGAAAGCGTTAACGATGCTGAAACTAGCAACAATCGCCCAATTCAAGCATCCAAAAAGTTTGTTATAAAGTTAAACGATGATGGAGAACCAATTATTCCAAAAATGCTGTATAATATAATCAGGGAAAAGTTCCTGCCGTACGATCGAGTTCTGTTCTACTATTATATGGGAATATTCTTTGTTGCAGTCTTCGCCTACTTTTTATACACAATGATGTCATTGTCCGAGAGATCCGGTATCACAAGCAGTGTTCAAATAATCGGTTCTATGGCTGCCACTACATTACCGATTATTTTCGACCTCGTTTGGAAAAAGAATAGCGCCGAGGAAAAAGCGATGAACACCATTGCCTTGAAGTCGAAACTGAAACGTGTTTTGAAGGTTCACAGTTCAAACGAAACTAGTGGGGAAATTGAAGTGGAGGCAATTGGATGCTTGAATGGTCCTCTAGAAAGAAATAACATTAACTAATTTTTAGTCTTAAAATGCTTAATTAACAGTACATAATTTGTGGTGGCGCAAGGAATTTGGCCAGACGTCAGGGGCTAAAGTCCCCGACAGGGGGCTAAGATTGTACGGGCAAAAAACCTTTCTCGTGAGGGGGGGAGGCACCCTTCCCCGAAGATGTTTTTGGATTTTGAGTCTGTGAAACGGTATTTTTGATCCACCATTTTGAGGATACCATGCGCTAGAATACAATTGTTTTCAGCAGTCTGTTTAACAATCTCTTCCCCGACAAAATACTATTTTTTCCTTGACAGGGGGGCTACCTTCCCCGATAAGGGGCTGTACCCCCTCCCATAGAGATTATAAATAACACAAGAGGAGGCATGGAGGATAAAATTTGGGAACGCAGCTAATGGGGGGGCAAATTTAGGTCCCGGATATAAAATCATGCTCTCATTGGTTAAATTGAAACTCTTCGCCAATGGGAACATGAGTACACATCCGGGACTTGAATTCCCCCCCCCCCCCAATAGCCGTATTCGGGGTTTTCCTGATGTCAAGATTGCGACGCCTCTAGTGTTATTTATAATCTCTGTGCTCCTCCCCCCTCTGGCGTCACCCTTGATATAATTGTTTTTGATACTAAGAATAAATTCAATTTATAAAATTATATATAAATATATAAATGATTATTTAGAATTTAGTACATACAAGTGATATGTGTTTGTTTTGAAATAGAATATAGTGTTTGTTTTGAAATAGAATAACTGCGTAAGAGTTTAAAAGTAAATTGCATGTTTTAATGATTCAGTAGACTTTAGGGTTTGGCATGATTGTATTGCTAATTGAACATATCTTGAAAATTGATAAACATGAAAACAACATAATTTTTGTGGAATTGATTAACATTAATAAAAGTACATATTGTTTGTTTCTTTTTTTGTCTCAGAGTTTTCTAATTTGTGCTCGAAGCCAGTACGTCAGTCTTGCTGTCACTGACAGAGGCTCTGCTATCTTGAACTGCATCCAAAAGTGATGGCGCCTCCTTATCTGCGTTAAAAAGAAGTTGAACAAATCATTAATATTATGTATCGGGCCCCCCTTAGATGCGGGTGGATAGAAAGAAAAGAGCATAGAAATTATAAATATATAACACTAAAGGGCACAGAATAAAGATCAGTACCAGAAGGGCCACTCAGCGTTGCAACGTGTCACCATTTTTTTATGCAAAAATGTGCAATTGACTGGCCAGAAGGCGGGGCCTCCAGCCAATACAGCGCGTTTATTGGCCAGAAAATGTAATCGACTGGCTAGGAAGATGGCGGCCAGGGGGCCCTTCTGTGTGCCTTATTCTGTGCTAAAGGGGCATCGAAGGTGAAATTTGAGAGCGCGGTAATGTTCGGGACAAATTGAAATCCCAGATGAACACCACACAATTCTTGAGTTACACTTAAAATCAGAAAAAATTTAAACAAGATTCACAAAACTGGGTGTTTTATATGTTTTGCCTGTCATTAACTACAAACATTCCGCCAAAATTTTGAATTTAAAGATTAAAAAGATCAAAATTGAAAAGATCTCTTGAAAAGATCAAAATTGCTGATATCAGCATTATTTTGGAGCGCCTTCAAAAATGTGTTATAGACAACATTGAGGTAAAAATGCTTGGTAAAAATCAAAATGGGACTAGTTAACCGCCATAAACAAGAATTTAGATATTTTGGCTCAAAACTCAGTCTTATTTTAGCATTTTAATTTTTTGCCCCCCAATAACCATGTTCCCTTTCATTGACTGAATTAAGATTACGATGCCCCCTCTAGCGTTATAATCTCTATGGAAAAGAGGGCCTGACACAAATCCCTGTCATGTAAAAAAGTCAAAATCTGGCTTTTTACCTGATTGGTTCTTTCACCTCATTGATATATTTTTTCAAAAAATTTAATCAGTTTTCTGATTGGTTGGTGCTAATTAGATTATACTACTGTTCATGATATATTTATCCAACATGAGCTCCACCTTTGAATTTACTACGTGAGTAAATTGTTAAAATAAGTAAAGATTTTCAAAAAAAGTAAAAGATGTTAACAAACGTAAAAAAACGTTTAAAAAGTTAGATTAAGGTTAGGTGTTAGGAGTTAAGGATTAGGAGTTAAGGATTGGGGTTAGAGGTTAGGGTTTAGGGGTTAGGATTAGGAGTTAAGGATTAGGGTTAGAGGTTAGGGTTTAGGGGGTTAGGGATTAAGGATTAGGGGTTAGGGATTAGGGTTAGTGATTAGGGTTAGGGTTAGATTTCTTCTGGGACATTTTGATTGGATACTAATTAAGATCAAATTATAATAGTTTTGTTTATGGAAACACCACGTATATTTATAGTAGCAAAGCTTTCGATTCGTAAGCCCGGATCTTCATCAGTGTTAATAATATGTGACTTGTTTAATTCACACGCCCTTTTTATATACAAAAGTGTCGTGATCTGTTGGCCAGTGGCGTGCTGGCAGGGGGGGCCGGGGGGCCACGGCCCCCCCAGCTGGCAATTTTTGGGGGGCGCAAAAATGAAAAGGGGGCGCCGATCCCGCGCCGAATTTTGAAAGTAGGTGGGAAGAAACGC